AGATACGAGCGAAAGAGCGGAACAGCGAAACAAGACACGAGAATCCGAACAAAAACAGGAAATAGCAAACACGAAGAGAGAAAGTCCAGCGAAGGGGAGAAAGTTATCGGAAAGGAATTGGGAAACTGTGGATGGCGAAAGAGAGGAGAAAGGAGAGAGGAAGAAATAATGAGAAACTGTGGATGGCGAAAGAGAGAAGAAAAGAGAAAGGAAGAAATAATGAGCAACTGCATATTGCGAAAGAGAGGAGAGAGGAGAACGGAGAAAGGCGAAAGGAGGAAATAATGAGAAACTGCGGATGGCGAAAGAGGAGAAAGGAGAAAGGCAAAAGAAGGAAATGAAGAGAGAAAGAAGAAGAACCTGAAAAGAAGAAAAGGAGAAGATAATAAAATGAAGGAAGAGAGTGAAATGATGGAAGGAGGATCTAAGAAAAGAAGACAGGCGATAGAAGGAATTAGAGGAAAGAAGAAGTAAGTGAAGGAAAGGAGAAACGCAAAAGCAAGAAATACATGCAAAATGAATGAAATAGAGCAAAGAAGGAGAAAGACAAAAGGAATGGAAGAAAAAAAAAGAATAAGAGGAAAAAATGAATATAAAAATAAAGGAAAAATCAGTACCCGCACAAAAAAACAATAAAACACTTTTGTAAACACATCATCACCTTCACCATCACCATCCTCACCACCATCACATATAGGCATCACCACCACTAACGCCACTCTCATCATCTTCACCATGATCACCACCACATCAACCACCATCATCACCATCACTCACAGGCATCACCACCAAAAACACCACTCTCACCACCCTCGCCATCACCACCCAAACCTCAACACGAGGAACCAAGCATCCCCGAGGAGAACCAAAGCACGAGAGCTCTGCCGATGGGCGTGAAGAGCCGCGGGCGCGAAAGGGCGCGGGCGTGGAGGGCCGTGGGCGTGAATGTAGGCTGCACGAGGGCGGAGCCGAGAGAGAGAAGCAGTTTTCCTCGCCGCCCGTTTCGGAAGCTGCACTTAGCTTGTGTATGCGTGTATGTATGGTGTGTACATACACGTGTGTGTGTGTGTGTGTGTGTGTGTGTGTGTGTGTGTGTGTGTGTGTGTGTGTGTGTGTGTGTGTGTGTGTGTGTGTGTGTGTGTGTTGTGTGTGTGGTGTGTGTGTGTGTGTGCGTGTGCGTGTGCGTGTGCGTGTGCGTGGTGCGTGTGCGTGTGCGTGTGCGTGTGGCGTGCGTGTGCGTGTGTGTGTGTGTGTGTGAAACATGCCAGACATACCTACATAATACCAGCATGCATGGGTACATCCAACAAGCAAATATGTTTATGTATATGAACACAAGTATACACATCAGCAAGCGAGCACGCACACGCACACACATACACACGCAGACGGCCACATACCACGCGTGTCACATCAACGAATTCAATGGCACGGATCTGGTCAACGCTACGACACCGTCCGCCCCGAACAGGTGTCACACGAGGACCAAGCGCCTTCCTGGTAGGGGGGGGGGAGGGGGGGGAAGGGGTAGAGGGACAAGGAGAAGGGAAAAAGAGAAGAAGGGACAGGGAGAAGGGAAAGAGAAGAAGGAGCAGGGAGAAGGGAAAAAGAGAAGAAGGGACAGGGAGAAGGGAAAAGAGGGGTAGGGACAGGAGGGAGAAAACAGAGGAAAAAGAGGGAGAGGGACAGGGAGAAGCGAAAGAGGGGAAGGACAGAGGGTGGCAAGGGAGACACTAACAAGGTAAATAAGATCAGCTGATTGGCTGATGTTACACCTGGGAAT